GAAATCCAAAGAATTATTGGCCAGTGTCGTGAGATACTGGACCAATTCACCATCCAGCAGTTGGAAGAGATAGCCCAACGGAAAGAGACTGTGCCTGAAGTGAAGRTAGAAAGTGTTGAAGAGAACATACAACAGTTGAAGGAGACGCTCRCAAAAGAAGAAAAGAAGCGGGAAGAACTGTTGAAGAAGAAAGAGCAGGAAACTAGACTACAGCAAAGAATGTGTAGAGTGCAGCAACACGTTTCCTTAGATGAAAAARATGTTGCTCAGACGCTCGGACAAATATTGACGTATTTGGCTTTTCTTGAAGAAAAGTTAGACCAACAGCAATCTAGAATGGATGAATTCGCTGTTGGCCTTCATGTCATTACTAGTATTGTCAAGGGGAAAGCCCCTATGCTTGAAAATGATGAAGAGAAAAAAGATAAAGAAAGAAGAGCGGACGTCAAGCCCGAGAAGTTGCTTATTGGTGGAATGAAGAACAGCGACACATCCAAAAAGGAAACGAAAAAGGAAGAAGAGAAGAAATCTGCAGAAGAAAAGAAAGTTGATGGGAATGGCAACGGAGATGGGAATGGGAACGGAATGGCAATGGGAATGGTGGTCCCTCTGGTCCCACTCCCCCTCCCAAGGACAATGCCAAACCTGCAGACTCGATTAAGCCAAAGAAAAAGGAAAAGGTTAAAATGAAATTGCCTTTTACTTTTTCTAATAAGAAAGAAGAGAGCCTTAAACTTTGGATCGCTGAGATCCAAACCTACGTTGGGACCGCACCGGTAGATGAAGAGTCGCAAGTCGCATTCACTACGTCATGCATGGGTGGCAAAGTGAAACAGTGGGTTCTGGCGGAGGCAAATGCCGTGGGATTTGACAATATAGGTGAGTGGGCGAAGACGATGACCTTGAAGCAGTTCCTTGAAAAGGTCAAGGACCACTTCTTGGACAAGACCACGGCCGATAAGGCCTTCGACCAACTCACCTCGATAGGACAGAAGTCCTGGTCTTCCGTTGAGTCATTGTCTCGTGAGGTGGACCGCCTGTTGCAGGTTCCTGGTCTTAACCTGTAGGACTCTCAGGTCCTTTATATCTACTCCCGAGCATTGCCCGAACCGATACGAGGGCACTTGGTTGTCGAGGCCAAGTCAGGTATGTATACCTACCGCCAGTTCCGCGACCTTGCATTGCAGCGGGAACAAATGACTTCGCAAGTCAAAGGTTCCTATGCTGCTGCCGTAAAGAATGGAGGAGGAGGCGGTCGAGGAGGCTACGGCAAGCGGGTCATATGGCATCAAAAGCGCCAAGACCACACCCTCGTCGTATTCGACGACGATACAATGGAGAAATGGCCATTGGAGAATGAGGGTGCTGGTGACAGCAGCAGTGACCTCAGAAAGGGGGAGGTTACCGCTGCAACGGTCAACAAGGGAGGACCGTCATTGAGCACTCGATCGAAGGGAAGACCACGCTCCTTCCCATACCATCCTGGGATTGCGGCTGGCAGACCGTGGCTGAAGATGGGACTAACCCGGGAGGTGTGGCAAGATAGAATGGRTAATGCGCAGTGCCTCAAATGTGGCACTGCGGGGCACGTCATTGCCTTTTGTCCGTTGATTAGGAATTCAAAAGGGAGCAGCCAGTAGGAATAACATCTGTTCCTACAGAGCCGGAGAGTGCGATCACATGCAAGGCGCCTACGATCCCTTTCCACACTCCGACTCCCGTGGCAGAGGATGAAAACCTTTCCGCCCGTCGTTCAGATATCCCCACTCCTGTCTTATGTCTGTCTCTGGACGACTCCCTTGACGAGCTGGGTAGYGAGCTAGTCGCGTTACGCAGTTCGTGGGCGAAGAAAGCCAAGTCTAAGGGGGAATTGTTGATTGCCGACTTGGTTGTCAATCGCACACACGTTGGTGCGATGTTGGACACTGGGTCCACACGATCTTACATGTCTGAACGTGCAGTCCGCAAGTTGCACCTCGGCATGAAGATCCAAACGTTAGCTAGACCAATCACGTCTATGTTGGCTGACAAAAGCACGATGACGGTAACACAGTACGTCGATCGTGTTCGATGTCAGTTCAGTACTAAGGATGGGAAAAAGATTTGGCATGAGCTTCCCTTCCTAATCGAGAAGAACATGCCATTTGATATCATCTTGGGAATGGATTGGCACGAGGAAGCTGATCCCAAGATTGATTTCAAACTGAAAGAAGTAAAGATCAAAGATGAATCGTCTACATTGCAACCAATTGAGTTGTATCATCGGTCAGGGTCTGACTCTGTCTTGTCTTTTTGTTGCATGAGCTACCCTGCATTCCGATCGATGGTTGCAAAGAAGAAGTTAGAGGATGAGGTAGTAATGTTGTTAGTTAAGAAAGTAGGAGAGTCTTCAACTACCYATCCTCCTGGCATAGATGCACTCCTAACGGAGTTTGCCGATATTATGTCTGAGCCTACCGGGGTTACTTCGCGTGCTATCAAGCACACGATCGAGATCGTGCCCGGTAGTAAGGTTCCCAAGGGCCCTATTTATCGCATGTCTCCAAGGGAACTTGAGGAACTAAAAAAGCAATTGTTTGAGTTGACGGAGAAGGGATGGATTCGCCCTAGCTCCTCTCCTTATGGCGCACCTGTCTTGTTTGTGCCCAAAAAGGAAGGTGAGCTGCGCCTTTGCATTGATTACCGAGGGTTGAATGCCGTCACCGTAAAAAACGCCGAACCTTTGCCAAGGATCGACGATCTCCTGGATCAGTTGCAGGGTTGTAAGGTCTTTAGTAATATCGATCTTAAGTCTGGGTACCACCAGATCGAGGTGGATCCGGCCGATCAGCATAAGACCGCGTTTCGTACGAGGTATGGTCATTACGAGTTGATCGTGATGCCATTTGGTCTAACGAACGCACCTGCGACCTTCCAAAGGTCCATGAACGAGTTGTTCAGGCAATGGCTCGACGACTTCGTCATCGTCTATCTGGATGATATTAGAGTATATAGTAAAACACTAGACGATCACCAGAAACATCGACGTCTAGTACTCGGGAAGTTACGCGAGGGTAACTTCAAACTCAACCCAAAGAAATCCGAGTTCGCTAAGTCTGAGGTCCTATACTTGGGACATATAGTGAATGAGGAGGGATTGAGGCCTGAGGAAAAGAAGATCTCGGCAATCAGAGATTGGCCGCAGCCAAAGACTCTGACAGACCTTCGATCTTTTCTTGGTTTGACGAGTTACTATAGGAAGTTCGTTAGGAACTTTTCTGTTATCGCTGCACCAATGAGAAGGTTGCTTAAGAAAGGTACTGTCTGGCTATGGGATAAGGATTGTGATTTGTCTTTCCGAAAGCTGAAATATGCTCTAACTCACTATCGTGTCCTCAAGATTGCCGACCCGTCTCTTCCTTTCATTGTTACGACTGACGCAAGTCAGTATGGTGTTGGCGCAGTCTTACAGCAAGACGACGGCAAGGGCTACCGCCCTATTGAGTTTATGTCTAAACGACTGCCGTGCGACAAAGTCGCCAATTCCACCTACGAAAGGGAGTTATATGCATTAGTCTGTGCCCTAGAAACATGGAAACACTATCTCCTTGGCAGACACTTCACTGTGTACTCGGACCATTCGACTCTAAAGTGGATCAAGACACAACCTCGATTGTCTGACAAGTTGGTGCGTTGGTCTGCTTTTATTGATACCTTTGATTTCGAACTCAAAACAATTAAAGGTAAGTCTAATGTTGTAGCAGATGCACTATCTAGGAGGAGTGGCTTCTTTGGGGCTATCGTCTCTTACCTGGATGTTGGGAATGATGTGAAAGCCCAAATTCGCGCTGGATATGCCACTGACCCTGTCTAGAAACCAATCATGGATATCCTAGCCAAGGATCCATCCCAACTTACTCACTACCGATTGTCTAATGACTTACTCTTCTTGTTGGACCAAACTGAACAGAGATTATGCATTCCTCACAAGGAAGAACTTAAAAGTCTGCTGATTGGAGAATGTCATGACACAGAGGGACACTTTGGTTTCAAGAAGACGTATGCTGAAGTACGTGAGCACTATGAATGGAAGGGTTTGAAAGAGGATGTGCTAACATATGTTCGTACATGCCAAGTATGTCAGAGAAACAAACCGTCTACTGAGAAACCTTTGGGGTTACTCCGACCACTGCCTGTTCCGAGTGAGCCAGGTAAGTCTGTGTCCATAGACTTCATGAAACTCACCAAGTCTCGAAATGGCAATAGTTAAGTTATGGTTGTGGTTGACCGTTTCTCTAAATATGCCATGTTCATACCCTTGCCTGCAGAGGCCAAGACTGAGCTTGTGATTGCTAAATTTCAGATGCGATGGGTAACTGAGTATGGGTTTCCCATGTCTATCGTATTTGACCGCGATGTCAGGTTCACAAGCATGCCTTGGCAGAAGCTGATGGAGGCCTACGGTACACGACTCACCATGTCGTCAGGGAGACACCCTGAAACGAATGGCCAGTCTGAGCAAATGAACCGTATGGTCCAACAACTTCTGAGAATGTATGTCCGTCCTGACCAAATAGACTGGGATGAGAACTTACCCAAGATTGCCGGTGCATATAACAATAGTGTGCATACCGCGACGGGACACACACCTAACGCACTGCACAAGGGATGGAAGCCTAAGCGTCCCATTGATGTTTTAACCAGGGATCAGTTTCTTAGACTTCCACCAGGGACAAAGGAATATGCCATTATGTTTCAAAAAGATATTAAAAAGGTGAAGGAGAACCTGAGGAAAACCCAAGAGCGCATGATTGAACAAGCTAACAAACACCGACGCCCGTCTACTTTTCAAGTTGGTGACTTGGTCTGGGTTAAGTCCAAAGAGTTCACTCTAGAAGAGGATGTTTCTCAAAAACTGATGCCTGTCTATCTAGGACCCTGGGAAGTTCTCAAGGTGATAGGGGATGCCGATGGACCATCATACCGGATTGACATTCCCCCTCAT